AAAGAAAGAAAGAAAGAAAGAAAGAAAGAAAGAAAGAAAGAAAGAACGAACAATATGTTTTCTGTAAAAAGAATTGAAGCAACAGGTATTTCTGGGTATTAAGGAAATAACCACCTTCTTGGCAACCTAAGAGCTTTTTATTCCTTTACACAGTTCATGTGTTCAATATTTTGTTGGTTATTAAGTACCAGTATCAGATTCCTTGGACTTATTATTTTTTTATAAGGTGAAGGACAAGAGACCCTCTCTCTGTTGTCATTGTATTTCAAGTTCTTCAGACTAAAGACAGACTACCTTTATATCTTCTGCTCAACTCCCCTGCTGTGCAGTCAGTAGTATAAATTAGCACACTGTTACCCCACATAGGCTGTTCTTGTATCTATCATGTATGAAAACCTTTCCCTTAGGCAGCAACCCAGGATACGGTAAATATGATGAATGAATCTTTCAGAAAATGATTCTTCTTGGGACCAGCAGTTAGCGTAATGGCTATGTCGCTGGATTCCCACGTAGTCGACTGCGGTTTGAGTCCCAGACCTGGTGGCTTAAACTCATGCAGGGCACGTGTGCGTGTGTGCCCAAGATCCCGAGAGGAGAATGGAGAAGAGATTGTGGCATGGCCATCCCCCCTGGGGGGTGATTTCTCACTTTCTGTCTCTCTGTCTTTCTCTGTCTTTCTGGAGAGCACACACACACCCTATAACAAAAACTTCTCCAAAAAAAAAAGAAAAAAAGAAAATGGTTCTTCTTTCCTGAACTCTTGATGAATAATCTTCCTTTTTTTTTTTTTTATTAGTCTATAGAAGAGTAGAAGTCAAAGAAAAACCTATAAGTGCAGTGATAGGCACGTTCACACGCTTATTTACATGAATCCCCACAATATGTGAGGATGTATTCTATGCCATATTTCATATGAGAAAATAGAAGTTCTGTTAAGTAATTTGCCCAAGATCTTATACACATGGAACTTGTACAAGGAAAAACTAGAATTCAAATCCAGATCCACCATGCAACAATGGTTACCATCCTTTTATGACTTCATCTTACATCTCTAACAGATATTTTTTGGCCATTTAATACCTTCTGGTTTTGTGACCATATTTTTTTTTTGAGGGGAGGGTCTTTAATTTAATCTCAAAAAAAAAAATGAAAAGACTTTTTCCTTAAAGTGTTTTCCAGTCAAATGTGAAAAGAATAAAAGAAATAAAAAAAGATTGATATGAAAGCAGCATACCCAATAACAAGAAATCAATGTATGTTATAATTATCTACAAATATTGAATGCTTAGCATATTCATATAAAACATTTATCAAATGCTTATTATGTCTAAAAAGGGGAGATAGACTGTAAATATTGTAGAGGCTTGGAGAAGAGATACATCTGAAGGCTAGAATGATTAGGGAAATCACCTCAGCGAAGTTCATGAGGTAGTTTCGAAGAATGGAAAAGATGTGAACAAGCAGTTTGGGAAGAAAGACATAACCGAATATTAAATTTGTAAATTCTTCCCCAATATGTGAGTGTGCATTTGCAAATCACTTTCTTTTTTAAAGCAGAAATCCCACATTATTTAAGGGTATACATTGGTATTAATAAGAGGTATTTTTTTTCAGTATGTTACAGAAGTAGAAGAAAACAGAATTGATGTTGAGATTTTACGAATGAAGGTCTTTGACCTGGATTTGCCAAACACTCCTCACTCAAAGGCTGTATACACAATCCTACAGGGAAATGAAAATGGAAACTTCAAAATTAGCACGGATCCAAATACAAATGAAGCTGTCTTGTGTGTTGTTAAGGTAAACAAATAAAACAGTCAAACTATGCTTTATAGTATTCTGATTTATGCTTGGGTATTGTTATACAAATTCTGCATGTATATGACTAGAATATTTCAGTGCAATACTGAAGTGATTTACATTGGATTATGTGAACTTACTTTTTTTCTACTATTTCATTCTCATTTTTTCTCTTAAAGGATAGTCATGGCAGGTCAAAAATCCATTGTTCTGTATATGAGGAACACTAATGTAGAGAACTATTGCATTTTGAATATTGAATCACATATTAGCCTTAATAGAGTTTTTAGGCCATCAGTTGCCCAAGTCCTGATTTTATTAGAAGGCATGACAAAGAGAAAATGAAGAATCACTATTTGAAATCAAACCTCTTCATTGTTCAACTCCCTTCACGTTCATATTATATTTTACTTTTACCTCTGAACAGTGTATTTTATGAGACAGACCATTGAACCAAATATTAAGCAGGTGTTTTCAACAATCTCCTACATTTAAGTAGCTAGTGCTTTTGGATTTTTAAAATGTAATTGCTCAGGATGGCTGGTAATGTAATGGTTATGTCGCTAGACTCCCACGTAGTTGACCGTGGTTTGAGTCTTGGACCCAGCGGCTTAAAACATATGTTGGACATGCATAGTATTCTCAACTGGATTGGTCTGAGAAGTATTTCATGATGGGCAAAGTATTTTTACAAACAAAATGAGAAATAGCAATTGACTGTTTTAAAAAATAATCAGAATAATAAAAATAATGATTGGGGAAAACATAGAAAAGATATTGAATGTTGAAGGGGGGAGATTAATGTCTCTATACTGATGGACATGCATGGCATTCCCTTTTGAAAAAACAATGTAATACACTGTAAAGTTATATGTAATCCAATGTAATATAAAGAAGATTATGATGATGATAATAAAAAAATAAAATTAAAAAAAAAACTTATGTTGGCGCATGTGCCTGCTTGCCCAAAATCCTGAGAGGAGACAGGAGGAGAAGGGATTGCTGTGTGGCCGTTCCCCCAGAGGGTGATTTATCACTTTCTGTCTCTCTCTGTCTCTCTGGTGAGCAAATGTGCGCTATAGCAAAAAATCCCTCAATCAAAAAAAAAAAAAAAAAATGTAATTGCCATTACCGGCTCCTAAAATGATTACTTCAGCTGAACCTGGTTCTTTTCTAAGCCCTTCTAGCCTCAGTCACCACTAACCTCGTGCATATTTCTTTCAACTATTTCTTAGAGACAATGCCTGTTCTTAGAAACTTTGTGCCCAAGTTGTACTTTCTTGATAGGATTTTTAGAAAATGTCCTTTTATTATATACTGACCATTCTTTCTCTTCTATACTTTATCTTTTTCTCTCTCAGCTTCTAGACTATTTTCTCTTGCTTTTATTTAACCATTTTAACCTTAGGAGCCTTTCTAATTATCAGATTTAGGACTAGGCATTTTGATCAAGAACTAGGCAGACCTGAATCTAATGTGTTTTTAAAAAGTGCTGCTAAATGATATCATGTCTTTTGACTTGAATAGTCAGCGAAATTACTCTATTGTAGCCAGATATCTATCTATCCAATTATCACATGTGGTAAATAATAAAGTAATTTGAATTTTTTTCAAACACTTAACCTGAATTTATATTAATCTAAATTTGTCATGAAAGAATGAAAGCAGAATCTTCTGAAAGAAAAAGTGAGAAGAAAAATATATTAAATCTTAAAATCAACAATTTTGCATTTGATTATCATTTTAGGATAATCTTAGTCTTCATACTTGCACAAACTTTTGCTTAACATTTCAAATACAAAAATGGTATTCCTTTTGCATTAAAACTTGGAATTATGATCATAAGTATTCTATGTGTTTTCATTTAATTTATTGACTGATCAAAGTATATTTATTAAACAGGCACTGAACTATGAAGTCAATCGGCAAGTTATTTTGCAAATTGGCGTACTTAATGAAGCACAGTTCTCTAAAGCAGCAAACTCACAAATGCCCACGATGTGTACCACAACTGTCACTGTTAAGATTAAAGATAACGATGAGGGCCCAGAATGTCAGCCACCAGTAAAGGTTGTTCAGAGCAGAGATGGCCTCCCAGCTGGACAGGAGCTCCTTGGATACAAAGCACATGACCCAGAAACACGTGATGGTGCAGGCTTAAGGTAATATATTCCTCAAAATTCCTCCTTAATTTTAATTGTGATGTATAAATTGATTTCACATTTAGGAAGGTTCTGTGTGTTTTCCAAAATGGAGAGTTTTAGGATTATGCCTTCTTTTTGGTTTGACAATTTGTATTTGACTTCTAAAATTAGGTATCGGAAGTTAGGAGATGAAGATGACTGGTTTGAAATTAATGAACAAACTGGCAACTTGAAAACTGTAAAAGCACTTGATAGAGAATCAAAATTTGTCAAAAACAACCAATACAATATTTCAGTAGTTGCAACAGATGCGGGTGAGTGCTATTTCTAGTAATAAAACATAAATATCAGTATGTTTTTAAGGAAAGTTTAAAAGAGTGAAATCTGTTTATTTCTAAATCAAAATTATGGCAAACAATGTTAGCATTAAGAGTTCTCATTTTATTAGAAACCAGCCTAATGAAGGATTCAGTAATGCAAAGCTACAAGTTAATGAGTCTAAGTTTCAAGGACCACGTTATTTTATTTCTGATGAAGGAACAACATTCTCAAGAATTTCCATGTTTTTTAGGAGTGTAGGCTTATATTACTTTAATTTGAACTTGCTGAAAAGATTTAACTCACCCAAAACAGATGGGCTCATGGTAGGTTTGTTCTAAACTTCTCTTAATGGAGAATAGGTCAGTTACACTATTTCAAAAAAAAAAAAAAAAAGGCAAAACAATGATTCTTAAATTTTTTGCTATGATTTGTAATCTTTCTTCGAGATTAATTCTTGAACCTATTCAGTAAAGAATAATTCATCTAAATTTACATTAAATTAATTACAGCAAGATAGTGGTTTTGAAACTCTTTTGAATATACACACCTATTAGTAGACCAATTGAGAGCTGCCCAGATTAAAGAATAAAAAAGGGAGAGTTGATAGGAATGCAGAATTGTGATGAAAGGAAAGTAAACTACTATTTGCAGAGGAGAAAATTATGGGGAACAAAATATAAGGAATAAACTTTGTCTTTTGGTATAAAAGACAATGTCCATAAGTAAGATGATTAGAGTATAAGAGAAAACAAAAGGAAATTTGTGTACCTGGGTCATAGATAACTTAGGTGAGCTCAAGAAAAAATATAGGTTAGGATACTGCAAATGTTAATGGAACATTATATGGTAATATGAAGGATATGTTTGTCTGAACTTTTATTTTTGTTATTCTTTCTTCACTGATACCTGACATTTGCTTGTGTGTTTAATTTAAAGCAAGGTTTAGAAGGAGATAAACATGTTCAATTACCTTTTACAATGTTCAAACATTTTCAGTAATTACTTATTCTCAGATGTCAAGGTATAGTTTTAGACAACTTCTAAGACTTTTTTTTCAGTTCTGGCTTTGAATGTCATCCATTTAAATAAGGTCGAGTATCTTTCATCTTGTTTTTATTAACATAAAATGAAGAACTGTGATACAAAATAAAGTTATATGATAAATATTGGTGGAATATAGGATTATGTACATCTTGATTTTTTTAATGGTTGCCCTATTTTTGTTAAATTTTTAAAATGTAATTTCTATTTTTTTCCATAGGAAAGCATTCTTTATTTAAATTTTAAAAGGTAAAATAGCAAGATCCAGCAGGTGGTATGGGGGATAAGGTTCTGGATTCACACATGATTGGCCATGTTTCAAATTCCAGACCTATGGCTTGAAAATCACATTGGGCACATGTGTTTGTGTGCCCAAGTTCCCCAGAGAAGAGTGGAGAAGGGATTGATTTCTCAATTTCACTCCTAGGAGAGGAGTGATTTCTCACTTTTTCTCTTTTGGTCTTCCTCCGGTAAATCCACACATCTTATAGCAAACACTTAAAAAAAAAAAGATAAAATAACAGTATACATGTCAACTCATGTGTAGTATCTGAAACTATAGTTTTTATTTTAAAATGCTTTTCTTTACATTACTCATGTCTTCGTTAATTTGCTGATTTTGACATTGTCTCTTATACTCAGATTTACTTATAATTTTCTAGCAGTCTCAGAATATTTATTTGCTATTGTGCAGGTCTTCTAATGATTAATATTTCTTTAATTACTAGATATTTTAAAACTTGTTCAGATAGAATGATTCTTAAATTACAGTGTAGAGTAGTTACTTCATATAAATAATTTGTTTTATAAATAACTTGGAATAAATCAATTTTCTAGTTATTCAACAGAAAAAAAAAAACCCTGAAATATTCTACATAATATGGCTTAGATTTATTTCAAACTAAAAAGGCAATTTTTTTAACATTCGTATATGAGTTATAGCAATCTTTGTGAGAAATTCAAGAAGGATGCTTCAAAATCTAGACTAGCATTCAAAGCCAAAAAATAAAAAGAATTGCATTAATTATTTTTCTCTATATTTAAATTTTTATATATTATTATTTATTTTAGTTTATTATCATTTCATAAATGATAACTTACACTTTTTTTCTTTTATTATGCCAGAAGCTATGTGTATAAAAGAGAGAGATAGAGACAAAGAAAGAGGAGAGAGAGCAAAACTATTCCTCAATAAGGCCTGGTCATACTACAATAGTTTTTTCTCCAGCATTTCAACCTGTCAGGATCCTGGACACACACATACCCAGTGTATAAGCCACTGGGACTGGGACTCAAACCCTGGTTAGCCACGTGGTACCTGACTTCCTTCATACAGACTTAACCGTGGTGCTTCCGTGTTAGCCTCACAAGTGGTAGAATTTGGACATGTATTTGAACTTCATTATTTTTTATAAAAAATAATGAGCACTATTTTAATTAAAAATATTTGAGACATGTGTGAAAACTTAGGCCACTAATAGTGATGAGCAACAGATCAGTAAGACAGTTTCTATTGTCAAGAACATATTTATTGTATTAGAATGGAAGTACGAACTTATTTTTCTGGCTAATTTAATTAAATTCTTTTCAAAGCATAAAAATAGCAATGTTCAGTGCATTCGTGTCAAATTATAATTAACCTAGAAATACTGGGTAAATCTGGGACTGGCAGGTGGCATGGTGGTTAAAGGCGCTGGATTCCCACATGGCTGACCGTGGTTCGAGTCCTGGACCTGGCAACTTACTTTCTCACTTTCTCTCTCTCTCTCTGTTTCTCTCTCTCACTTTGTCCCTCTCTGGTCAAATTTAAATAAACAAATGAATAAATAATAAATAAAGTTAAATAAAATAATTTAATAAAAAAGAAATACTGGGTAAATCACTAGGCTGTCAAGATGAATACAACTTGCCATGTTACTATTAAACATGCTTACAGTTCAGTTTGTGAGCCAAGGTAAACAAATCGTTTTAAGACGAAGGAGAGTATGGTTCCCATTGTCTGTAGAAGTCACACGTTTCGTGAGGAGGTCATATTTGAACGGATTCTTGAAGATAATAGGTTTTAGTGGCAACAGAATGTACCAAGACAGGAAGACAAGCCCTTGGTGGGTTTGATGAGAATTTTCACAAGGTTTTAGTTGAATATATAAGGAGGATGAAAAGAAGCTGAGGTGGCTGATGACCAAAAGTCAAGTATTTTTGTATTCTTGGATGAATATATGCTTTCTGAAATGGTGTAAGAAGTCAATTTATTGTCCGCAGATTATTCTGTCGTTATATTTCTCATAATCTTACACATTTGGGTTTCAAAAAGCACCCGAAGAGATCTGATCCAGTCACCAGTTTTCAACGAAGAGTGACATGTCATTTCTTTTAGTAATGGCGTCTAAGATCAGGAGCCTGTGTGCGAATTCAAGTTTAGACAGCTAGTAAAAGGCAGATGTCAACTGTGTATGATACAAATTGTGGGAAACAAGCAAATCTTTAATGAATAAATAATGTATTTTTAATTTATCTTAGATGGTAGATCTTGCACTGGAACATTAGTAGTTCTTTTGGAAGATGATAACGATCACCCACCACAAATTGATCATGAAGTGACCATCTGTCAACATGATAAGGATTTTGCTGTTCTGGAACCTATAGATCTAGATGGGCCTAACAACGGTCCACCTTTTGAATTTTTTCTGGATAATTCTGCCAGCAAACTTTGGACATTAGAAAAAAATGATGGTACGTAACTGTGCTAAATCTCGTAATCAATAGGGGTCCCAGATGGCTGGTTATCTTGACTTTTATCTTATTTTATCATAATAAATACATATTTATTTTGGTAAATTAAATCATTTATTCTACAAGAAAGAAAATACCTTGCTTTTTAAAATATGTATGTTTATACTTATAGTTAAACTTAGACTCTTGTTATGATTATCATTTAAGAAAACATGTGAATCAATTTTAAGTTAATATTTGAATAACATGTTAACTACAAATTAGTCTAATATGACCATAGCAATATCAGTTATTTTTCTTGGCTTTCCGAGTAAACTAAATTATTATTTTGTGAGAGAGAGAGACAGCATCCTTAACAGATTTTTGATGCCTTAATCTACCCTTTGTCCCAGCCAGGCTCAGATTGTGGGCACACGCATGCCCAGTATAGTATGTCTGGCATGATGAGGAATGTCTCAGGACATTTATTTGGAACTTTCTTATGTGAGCCAGTTTTCCAGAGTGTTGTGTTTTATTGATGTGCCACTATCTGGCTAAGCAGCATTATTTTCAAAAAAGAATAATGAACCATTAGAGGTTTCATTCCAAATTAATCCTACCCCTTAGGAATATCTAGTAGAAATAATGTGGCTATTAAAAGTTCATATCAGTATATATTTTCTGTCTTTTTTTCTTTAGGTAAAACTGCTATTCTCCGTGGACGGCAACATCTTGATACTAATTATTATACTGTGCCAATCGAAATCAAAGACAGACATGGTCTTGGTGCCAAACATTTCTTATCAGTGAGAGTATGTGATTGTACAACTCCATCTGACTGTAGAATGAATATTGTAAACGAACGAGATGTTAAATTATCAAATGTAATACTTGGAAAATGGGCTATTCTTGCCATGGTGTTGGGTTCTGCATTGTTACTGTGTAAGTATAACAATCTAGAATGTGTTAGCTAAAGTTTTAGCTAATATTTTTAAAATGCATACAGCAGTTATTTGCAACAGTGACATTTATAACTGTTGGCAAATATATCCTTAAAAAAAAGTGTACCTTGTTTATGAGTTGGCCTTCTGGGTCATTAAAGAAGAAACATTTCAGTAAAGGCATATTATATTTGAAGCAAATTTCAGAGACCTTAGTTCTTCCAGTATTAATTTACGAATTATTTGTGAGACATTAGGTAATTCATTTCTTCTTCTCTAACCTCAGTTTTCCATATGTAAAATGAATAGTTAGAATAAAATTAATGTTAAGGTTTTCTTCAATATGAATAAAATACTATAGTCTTTCATGTAACCAAATTCATAGATGGAATACGTAACAAAAAAAAAGTGAAAACAGAATAGTCCTCAAATTCGCTTTGATATTTATGTTCTATGTTATTACTAAAGTGATTTAGCATACGTCATAAGATTTCACTCCTTATTCCATTGCTCGAAGACTCCATGAGTGGGAAAAGATACATGATGAGCCACTGAGGATAAATAATGCAAAAGATGCTAAGATTTTGCATTCTGCAAGATTGCTGTTTTGGATATGCAAAAGTAATAGTAATTTTGCCCATGCTTAATCTTTCTTTCCTTCTTTTCTTTTCCTTCCTCTCCCTCCTTTCCTTCTTCCTTCTTCCTTCCATCTTTCCTTCCTTCCTCCCTTCCTTCCATCTTCCTTTTTCTCTTTTCTTTCTCTCTTCCTTATCCCTTCTTTTTCAATCTACTTGACTATAAAGAACCCATTCGCATTTACACCCTTTTCCTACAGTCTTTACAGGGAAATTCATTGTCATAATTGATTGATTTGAATTTCAGGTTAAACTGTGTATTCTTCTTAGCACCACATTAGTTGATGTGCACTTTCAAAATTGGACACTGATCTTATGTAATTGCCTTTCTTGTTTGTATTTATGCCCAATATCCTTTGTTTTGTTGCTCTAAGCCAATTAAGTGTGTTCTGTATGATTTTAAATACCAATAGTACTATATTAAATTTCAGTCAGATGAAATTACTATTTCAGTATAGATGAAATTAGAAACTCATATTACTCAGTTCCAAGGAGAGAGCCATTAATAATCTGACTAAGACAGAGATAGCCTATATATTAATATATTTTTAATATTCTGTTTTAAATTTTATCAACCAAAGAGATCTCAACTTAGAATAAATGTTTAAGAGTTCTGCAAAGAAAACTTTAAAAAAATCATATAATCGAATGACTTTATACTAGCACCTGAAAAATAATACTATTTCACTTCTCCTTTTTTGGTTTAGGTATTCTGTTTACATGTTTCTGTGTTACCGCTAAAAGAACAGTAAAGAAATGTTTTCCGGAAGATGTAGCCCAGCAAAATTTAATCATATCAAATACTGAAGGGCCTGGAGAAGAAGTGATGGTAAATTAGATTTCACTTCTCTTTGAACTGTATGGTGATCCGGGGTTGACAGTTTGATTATGACATAATAATAGCAGTAATGGTAATAATAGCTAATGGTTTTTGAGCATTTCATATGCCAAGCAGATTCTAAGTACCCTGGATGCTCTAATTTATCTCAGCTTGTCAGTCTTACTGTATTAGTTTCCTAGAACTTCCATAATAAACCAAATGACTTAAACAATGGAAATAGAAAGCTTGAAATAAGAGATCCAGATGTTGAGAGGGCTCTGCTTCCTCCGAAGGCAGTAGGGAAAAATCTGATGCAGGCCTCTCTCCTAAATTCTAGTAGTCCCTTGGCCTATGGCAACATAAATCAATTCTTTACAATGGCATTTTGCCTGTGTAGGTGTATCTGTGTTCAACTTTCTTTCATTTTTAAGAACGCTGGTCATAGTAGATTAGGGACTCACCCTGTTCCAATATGACCTTTTTTTCATTTTAAAAATTTTGCCAGAGGGTATGTGCACCCAGGGGGGTTGGAGTGATTGGCAAACTGCCATTCAGGACTACCCTTTCTGCCATGTGGGATCCAGCTGCCTTAACCACCATCCCACAAGCTGGCCCAAGCTTATCTTAATTTAATTGATTACATTTATAATGTCTTATTTCCAAACAAGGTCATATTCTGAGGTATTGGGGGTTAGAACTTCAACATGTGAATTTTTAGGGCACACAAGTTAATCCTTACCTGTGATTATTATCCTGATTTTATGTATGAGTAACCGAGAACTGCAACAGGTAAGTGAACTCTTTAGGGTAGGAAGAAAAATGAAAGTAAATGTTCAGTTTCAATTTGATTCATCCATTTTGTCTCACTTTATTTTTAGGAAGCCAATATTAGACTGCCTACACAGACATCCAACATCTGTGACACAAGCATGTCTGTTGGTACTCTTGGTGGCCAAGGAATTAAAACACAGCAAAGTTTTGAGATGGTCAAAGGAGGCTATACTCTGGACTCCGGCAAGGGAGGATACCAGACTTTGGAATCCAGCAAGGGCATAGGGCAGGGAGTAACGGATACTGGCAGATACACATACACCGACTGGCAGAGTTTTACCCAACCTCGGCTTGGTGAAGTAAGTTCCAATGTCTTAAAGTTCATATTACATGAAAGTGACACATTATAAATCAGGATTTTCTAAAAATTTACTCTTCATATACCTGGAGCTAGTTTCTTTTTAAATGTTGAATCATAATAGTTATAGATGTCACATCCAAACCCAAAGAGAAAATGATCTTTTAAAGTTCAATTTAAAAAATATGATCTACAAACCTTTATTAAGAGGTGCCTGATATAGATGTGTTTTAGAAGAATAAAGAGACTGACAGCATGTGCCTCTCCAAATTACCAGAAAAACCATCTGGAATAAAATATTTGTTATAAAGGAAGTGAATGGCCAAAAATTACAAGCATTTTTAGTGTGCTTGAGTCCTCCATGTGGTTATGAAGTCTTAACTATCAAAATCAACCAGGTAGACTGTTAAGCTTTCATTTTGGGTTTTAGTTCCTTGCTTTGTTTTATATTTATATTAATATACATTACTATTAGCCAGTTTAATACAGTATTATAACTATATAATAATAAGTAGTCAAAAGAATCCTAGCCTATATTGTTTTTTTTCCCCAAAAAAGGAAATTGTAAGTTAGCTGTGTAATATGTGTGTAGCCTTAATTTTCATAAATGTGTTCACTAGGAGCATTTATTTATTTGCTATATCTTAAGAATGAATATAATATAGACCAATCATGTGCATTTTTTATATGTAGGAACCCATTAGAGGACACACTCTGATTAAAAATTAAACAGTAAAAGGTAAATCAAAGACATTATTTTTATGCTAATATGTTTAGGTGTTTTTTAAAAATAATAATAAAATGTGCTCTTTTTCAAAACAGAAGGTGTATCTGTGTGGGCAAGATGAAGAGCATAAACATTCTGAAGACTACGTTCGTTCATATAACTATGAAGGCAAAGGGTCTGTGGCCGGCTCAGTGGGCTGCTGCAGTGATCGGCAGGAAGAAGAGGGCCTGGAGTTCCTAGATCATCTGGAACCCAAATTTAGGACACTAGCAAAGACATGTGTGAAGAAATGAACTTGCTGTTTAAAAGAATAACACCTATGATTGCATATGTAGGAGTTTATTGAATGTAAAATGATAGACTCTACTAATGGTTTTGTTTATGGGAGGTAAAATTGAGTCATGTATAAATCAGGGTATTATAAATATGAGGCTCCCCTAAATTTTTCTTGTCTTATATAACTTCCACATTCTCTAGAAATAAAGGTTTCGTTTGTTAATTTTCTTTTATATGCATGTATATATTGCTCTTTTTGGGACTGTACTGTATGCTTTCTTGCACCTGGTATTTGAAAACGTGTTACTTTGTGTGCTGTGGAAAGTTTGTGGGAGGGCTGGGTAAGGAGGCTAAGGAAAAATAAAGTTTCACTTTAGATGTACAAATTAAATATTTTCTTCAAAACCTTGGTAAGAGTTTTGTTTTTAAAAATATTTTCTTTGGCACCAGAGAATTGCTTCCTTTCTCCTTGAGTGACTTAAAAAGGATTTTAAAGTATCCTTAGATGCAGTCTTTGGTTTGGTAAATAACTATATTTCGCACTATGCTTTTCACTCCTTGGAAGAGATACTCAATGAAGCATTTTCTTTCAGGAGTCTTCAGAGCACAGTTTTTGGCTCTCTGCTCATGTGGATGTGTTACCACATTCCTACAGGTTTTGGGATTGTTGGAAAGACATGGACCAGAACAAGCTCACAGCAACTTGAGGCAGAGTTTTACAGGAATTACGAGAGAGGATTTCCATGAAAGAATAGCAACCCAGGTGCCCATTAGGCTCAGAAATATATTTTGTTTGTTCAAAGTGATGTACAATTAGCTTTTTTAAAAAAATAAATACCTTGGTAAGAACATCCACTCTAGTTTAATATAGGCCTACTATCTCTGTGGCTTTCATCCAGCTTTTTTCAGCATTTTTGCAACCAGCCCTTAAGGCTAGGCTACAACCCGGATACAGAGGTCTTAGCAACTTGCTAAAAACAGAATTACATTCATGGTTGCACTTAATACTCAGTCTACATTGATAATTATTTAAAAAATGAAAAATTATAAATCATGCTTGGCATGTATATTTTTAAAAATTGAAATCTATTACAGCAACATTTATAAGACATTTGTTGAATGATGGATAAATGAATGAATACATAAGTAAATAAGTTATTCTGAAGGTATAACATTTTAATAGGATATTATAGTTTATCAAGTTAGAAAGAAATGAAATATTTTATATTCTGATTGGTTGGTGGCAAACTCTGTAAATCTATAAATGAGAACAGTGTATGTCACATAGAAATTTCTTATATAGACAAAAACTTATTTTTTCCATTACGAACTGTTAAGTATTAAAAAAAGAGTGTTTCTCTTAAATTTTGTGACTAGTCTTATTTTCAGTAGATTTTAATTAGCAGTGCTTCTTTCTATGAAACTGATATTGGTACACAAGTAAAATGTAGTTTTAATAAAACTACAAATTTTGTCTTATAAAGTGTCCATGATGTATGATTTTTATAGCCATTGTAAGATAATTTTGGAGGTAATCCAATTTCTGTTGTCTGTTTATTTCAGTTATACTCTGAAAATGATGTTTTAAAATTTTAAAATATCATTATAAATTTAAAAATGCAGCATAATAAATTCTATTATTGAATTTGGATACAGGCTATTCACGGAGCAATTAAAAATCATGTGCTGAATATTAACTCATGTGTGTTTATGTCTCTATATTTCTCTTATACTTGCTTAAGTGTAGAAGAGAAAATTTATGTCTATGATAAAGTACAATTACTGTCTAAAGGTACATTTTTCAGTTAGCAAAAGAAAGCATTGTAAGTATTAGAAGCAAGTGTGGAAAATAAATTTGTATTATGCAGTCTGGACTATATAAAATGTTTTAATAAGATCATTAAAATTTATCTCAGAGAAACTGTGACTGTCTTTTGATTTATTTAGACAATTCGATCAATCTCTGTTTTTACTCCAAATTAAATGTTAATTGTATCCTTGATGAAAATTATGAAATCAGATTGTTTAGAAATTTAGTTTGTTAATGAAACATTTTATAGATTTATTTCATATTATTTAATTGAGAATAAATTAATAGTTATAAATTATTTTTCTACAGTTGCATTTATTGTGAAGGAAACATATATTTTGCTTATCTTTATTCAGATCTCAAACTATTTCATGTGAAAAAATTCCATGGGAGCACCAAAACAAATGAAAATTGATGTCATTTTTATAAATGAGATTTAGTAAGTACTTTCTTTACCTTACTGAACTTCTTTTCTTTTTTAATAATAGCCTCATCATGTCACAATCTTCCTGTCTCATCCTCTCAGTGGGGACAACAGATGCATGCCACTCTTCCAGGCCCTTTTTCAGACAGGGTTTTGCCATGTTGTCCATCTGAGCTTTGAATGCTTCTCATGATTCTCCTATTTCAGCCTCCTCCTTTGTTGGGATTACAGGTCTGCACCATTGTGCCCAGCCTTATGGGTAGATCAGGGATCAAATCCAGGCCTCCCAGATGGTCCCAACTTGTAGAGGACAATGTCTTAGAAGCCACTATAGCTGGGCTGTTCCAGAACTTGCAATTTCTCCGGAGTTTATTAAACTATTTCACAATTGATATCTATGTCTATATTTACTTAGCAAATATTAAATACTATGTTATTTGGAAAATATGCAGAATAGATATTTTAGAGTTGAGGACTCTCAATGCAGCTGGCCAGACTCTGCATTTGTCTTCGTACTTGCATAAAGACAAGAATAAAGAAGTAGGGCAGTACATCAGAAGAAAGCACTACCAAGTATGGCTAGACCCTTGAATATTGGGTAGGATCCCATGAGATTAAGGGAGCATACTTTTTTAGAACTCTTTGAAAGGACAGTGTTAATGTAAAAAATAAAAAATACATTTATATTATCTCAAAGCCTTACTGCTTTATATGACTTATCCTTAAAATGGAAACGATTGTTGGGACCAGCAGTTAGTGTAATGGATATGTCGCTGGACTTCCATGTAGTTGATCATGGTTCGAGTCCTGGACCCGGCGACTTAAACTCACACTGGGTACAAGTGTGTGTGTGCCCAAGATCCCTAGAGAGAATGGAGGAGAAGGGATTGTGGCATGACTATCCCTCCTAGAGGGCGATTTCTCGCTTTCTATTTGTCTGTCTTTCTCTGTCTTTCTGGTGAGCGCACTCACCCTATAGCAAAAACTTATCAAAAAAAAAAGGAAACCATTGTCAAATATACATAAAGAGACTAGATTAAATGTATCAGAAGCATTTGAAAATGAATGTGTGGAGGATATTTGTAATTTACAATTTATAAACATAAATCAACTTATTTTAAAATCTCTACTTTTCAGTTTTGACTGATAAGAATAAAATTCTCTTTGATAATATCAATCTATTCTATAGAATTAGAAATTGTTTTTTTCCCTAAAGTTAGAGAGAAAAGAAAAGAAAAAAAAAAACCTAAAAAACAAGTGTGGCCTTTGTTTGGCCTGCATTTTGCCTCAGATTATGTAATAATGCAAAAATATTTAAATTAAAATTTTAATTATCAATATGTAATGATTATTATGTGCAATGGTGAGGTTTTATTTGCCCATATTTAGAAACATTTATTTATTTACTTATTTGTTTCATTTATTTTAATTTGACCAGAGAAAGACAGAGGTTGAGAGTGAGAGAGAAAGGAAGCAAGAAAGCAAGCCACCAGATTCAGGACTTGAACCCTGGTTAGCCATGTGGGAATGTCCAGCACCTTAACCACCATCTGCTGGTCCCAGGGACTTTTAAATGATACAATATGGAATTATTAATACTACTACTATTAACAAAATAAAATTCAGGGTTTTATTTGAGATATATGAGTTTACATAGATTTTATGCCAAAATTTTATATGTACTTATTTTTATCAGGTAAAATTTAAGAAAAACTGAAAGTTCAAAATGAATGAAAAGATTTCCTAGCTTGATTTTGTCTCTCATACACAATTAGGAATCAAAGGGGTGATGGTATTATCATAGTTCAGTTCCCCTTAAGATGCCCAGTTCATAAAGACCTTCTATCTATAGCAGGCATCAGACAAGAGGATGGGCTCTTTCTTCAGTCACCATGTTCATCAGTCCTCGGAGATCCTTACTAAAATTCGCAATCCCTGGTTCTGAAAGTGTGATTTAGCAGGAACTTGTTAGAACTGTAAATTCTTGTGTCTTTAACTTAGATTTGCTGAATAGGGATCTCTGAGGGTGAGAGCCAGCAATCCGTTGCTATTCTTTTGTTCGTTTATATATTTCTTCCATGAGAGAGAGAGAGACAGAAATGCAGAGAAGGACAAAAGAGACAGGCACTCTTAACGGGACTGCACGCTAGGCTCTACCTCTAGTCTCAGTCAACCTGAGCCACTAAAAGAGACAGGCACTCTTAGCGGACTGCACGCTAGGATCTACCTCTAGTCTCAGTCAGCCTGAGCCACTTACATGCATATGTCCAGTGTGCTCAGAGAGGCCCCAGGATGCAAACTCAGGACCCTTCCTGTATTGGTCCAATTGCATTACCACTGTGACACCCTAACGATCTGTTTTAACAAGCCTCATTTAGGTATTTCTTCTGTGCTGCAGTATCAAATGTGGAAACACCTGTTCTTACGATTTCCTTCACTTCAGCACTAGCTCTTTAATCCTCAGTGTTGTCTGCAAAGCCGTGTAGTCATCACCTGACAGTTTGGTAGGAAAGCAGATTTTCAGGCCCCCCCTCAAATGTACTGAATCAAAATCTGCATTTTAGCAAGATCCCAGAAGATTTGTGGAAAAGGCGGCAAAAACTAATAGGTGAGCAATACAATAAATTGATTTCAGTGGGCAACACAGGCAGCCTCAGGCAGCAAGTCTGTAGCCACCACGTGGTGAGGAAATTTGTCCTAGTTCAACTGGACACTCAAATTCAAGATTGTTACCCACAAAGCAGTAACCTCCCACTCTGTATTCTTAAATTTCTTGATGAGGGACTCGAAGAACATTGTACTTAACAGTACCATAAAAATGTTTGAGATGCAATGGCAAATAATGTAACCAGATTTAGAAAAATGACATT